TAAGATATGGGAAGTATAGTGCAGTCCTTCAGAGAAGAATGCCAGGCAGAGGTGAAGCTGTAAATGTAATATAAATATAGTATATAAAACACATTTATATATTTATTTATTTATATTTATTTATATAAAACGAATTTATATATTTATATTTATTTATATAAAACTAATTTATGTATTTTTATTTTTTAATTTTAAAAAAAAGTCGCTAGGATAAATGCCTCTGATCTGTCATATTGGCTTACCTCTGGAGAAATCAGACTGAATACGGAAAGTTGTGCATCTTGAGCTGGTCAGGTTCTGGTACTTTGCTCCGGGCTCTCATCCTAATGTGCTAACACTGGGAGCTGGAGGGGTGAAGTTCAAGTAGCTAACAGAAGGAGGAAAGCTCCTCTTGTTAGGATGCTGTTTCACAGGTTAACGAGCAGGCCAGTGACACAGGAAGCTGCAGTAGGAAATAGCGGTGTCACTTTGCTGGCAATGCAGTGTGACACAGAGAGGGGGAATCACAAGGCTCAATGACTCTGAACAGAGGAACATACTTTGCTGGCAGAGAAGATAGATAACCATATCTAAGGCCATTATGGTTAGAATCCAGTTAAAGGAATCCGTCGCTAGTTGCCTGGCTGCCTCGCTAATCCATTTAATTTAATACTTTTTTAAAAAAGTACCAAAGCCTCAAATGTTTTCACTTCATTACATTTTATATACGGTAGCAGTAGAACATAGGAACATAAAAGCTTTGGTCTGGAAACACTTAGTTTATTTGTTCACCAACACAGCTCCTGTGCACAGCTTCTTGGTTGGACAACATGCCACTGTATATGCATGCCCCATCATTTGTTCCTGGCTGCCAGGTGGCATCTTAGCATTGGCTTGGAGGCCGCAACACAAGGGTGGCTCCGTAGGACTTTGGAAGGTATGGTGTCACCCTTACAGCAGAAGTCAGCACCAGCTGTCAGGGAAGAGAGTGAAAAGGAGGGACGGAAAAAATAAAAAAGACGATGTAAGCCCTAACCTGAGCATCTTTTATGTGTGTGTGTTTATAAACACACACTCA